ATGTACCAGCAATTGAGCTACTGCTGTGCTTGAACTTTGCCATTTGAGTCAGACAAGAGTTATTGACAATGACTCCAACAAAGGATGCCTGTGTATAATCACGGAAGTCAAGTGTGGTTTCAGCTATAACAATTCATAAATAACTCCTGCAAATCCTAGAGAGGAGGTTTTACTGCTCAATGCACAAAGGCCCAGTGAAAACAAATTTCATAATCAGTAGAAATACCCTTCTACACATGCCTTGCTCTGCACAGATGAGGAAGTGCAATGCTGAAATGACAGATTGCCCTTTCCTGCAGTTAAAAATTAATTTGATGATGTTGCCTGAATTGACATCACCTGCCCCTGGAAGGGGTACAGAGCAGCCAGTGGAGAGGCCAGTTTAGGAATCCTCAAAGGGCACCTTGCAGGATACAGCCCAGTCAGACTACAGGAGGCTCTGCCTGTGCTCCAGGCCAGTGCAAGCTCCTGGGACCACATCACCACAGTGTCACTGCACTTCCCCTACTACAGCTTCTGAAGGGCACTTACAGCATCAGCCTCCATCTGAGCATCACCACACCAGCCCTGAATAACTCAGCACCACCACACCATGCAGGTGCCTGCCTGGACACAGCAGAGATCTAACCAGAGACTTCCAGCAGGCACCAATCCTGACACACAGTACTTGGGCAGGGAGGGTGTGGGCCTGTTCCAGCCCTGGCAGACTCCTGGGTGCCTGCAAGAAGAGCACTACAAATGAGAATGAGATCCCACACTGCAAAGACCTAGCCAGTATTTATTGCAAGCACTCCACCCCAGTTTCTCAGGGCCTTTCATGTACTTGATGTGATGTCTGGGGGTGCATCGTGCCAAATGAGGTTCCAACGTATGTTCCTAACTATGGAGCAGATACAGACCCATGAGGAAAAGAAATGAAATCTTCAATTTTGCTAAGAAAATCAAAAAAAGGAAAAAGATCAAGACATTCTTTGTAGTCAATATGGATGTAAGCTGCAGGTAGACAAGGAAAAAGGGGTAAGAGGCCACACATTTCATCCTCTTGTTCCCAGACTTGTCTGCATTACTACAGAGTATTTGAAACCAGAGCTGGCTATGGAATCTTGCTTTGAGGCAACATTTATTTTAAATTACCACTATAGCTTAACCAATTATCATAAATAATCTATAATACAGAGCTGTTAGCATGGATCTCCCAGTGTTCCAGTTCTGTAGTTAAGTATTTTTGGTGATATGAAACAGTAGGACATAAATTTATTATTTTGTATCTAAAATATGAATCACAGTGTAAAGATCAGGCTCCATATGGTTATACAGAACAAACCTCACTCTGCACAAGTAATCACTAACACTTTTAACCATTTATCTGCCTTTCAAGATGCAATAGATTAGACACTGGCATTTTGGATGCTGGACATGAACAGTCATGCTGTAAAGGATCTAACACATCAATTAAGAATGCTTACTTCAGGTGAACAGGGAGCATTTGTATTTATCTCTAGTATAGAAAGCATCCAAATGCTCAGGACATTTTATGGAGGCACAGGAAACATCATGCAGCAGCAAGGTCAGCATTTGGTGCTCAGGGATGGTCTGGTCTGTTAGTATCTAGTGCTAAACCCTGTGAAGTCAAGCTTGGGAATCTCCTTCTCGTTGGAAAAACTGGTTCGGTCGATGCGAGAACTTGGGCTTCCAACTTTACTCAGCCAGGACTTCCTGCAAGGAAAACAGGAGAGGGTTAGCATATAAAGAACTGCACATGTGGGGTTTATTCTCCTGTCATTCCTTTCCCCCCCCTTTTTTTTTTTAAGAAGCTGCCTTGCAATGTGGGATCTACTACTCTGTGACAAAAGGAGGGGCACAACACCTGACGAGCACCAGGTAATGCTGCTCACAGAGGGATTTATCCAGGAAAGACTGCAGTATTTCCTGTTGTACTCAAGTCTCAGAAATAGAAAAGTATTTTACCATACCCTCTTTAAAGAGAACTGTATTACCAAGCAAATACTTTATAACTTTAATGATGCATAAACATGTATAGATAGATATTTTTAATACTAATCAAAGTTATGTCACTAGTGATTTAAGACTATAGACATTACTTTATGTCTTATTACATTAATTCTTTGTGAAAATCACACTGAGCATTTGAAAATGCAACGTTCTTGGAGTGAGACTTAATTTGGATGTCTTTGTAATGACAACTCTGCACAGAGGTTGCTCATCTTGAGCCAGCAAATAAAACAACTTAAGTATAGAAATGTATCTTGTTAGAGACCCTACACAGCAAGATTTTTTAGACAATTTCTGACAATAGAACACTTCAAAACATCTTAAGTGTCTTGGCTGGTATTAGAGACAAGCCCAAACATTTTCTCCAAACTGTGCCAGTCCTCCTAAGACTGGTCTCATCACTAGCACAGACAGTTCCTTCCTATCTGATGGCTAAAACTGAGGCTTTATATGGAAAGAGCGCCTAGAAAATACAAACCAGATACAGGTATCTCAATATTCAAAGTGTGACAAGCCTTAATTTACAATACAGCATTAAAACAAATATTTCTGCCAGAGGTTCAACACATCTTCACACCTCTTGTTTTGTGCTTCATGTTGTGAACAATCCCCCTTCTTGCCTGTTTCAGATGAAGCCTTTCCAGTAAGAATTCTAACACAGAAGCACACGAGTGAAACTGGAGAGCCCAACTTTCCACTCTGCACTGGAGCCCTAAAGGCAGAATATATGTTCCAACCAAAGGAAAATAATCCTAGTAACAGCCCAGTCCATTTTGTTCCATATTATGAAAAATCTTGGAAGCCCCAAACTTATTTAGCAGACAGGTCTCTAGTATAGCTGGGTGTCCTTAAGTAAAAAAGAAAAGCAGCCATACTATTTTAGAGAGCTAATGTGATAACCCACAGGTGAACAGACAATTTTGGGTTTTCCTACTCACTTAAAGGTGAGCTGGTCAAAACCAAAAGAAATATATTCCTTGCCCAGCCTGCACAACTGCACATAAGTCAAAAATTAATCCATGGCTGTGTCCAGCTGCCAAGTTTCATTGCATGAAGAAAGGAACTCTGCACAGAGCAAACGTTATGCACTGTCAGCTCCAAATGCTCTCACAGGAATAAGGATAAAGCACAAGTTACCAAAATCCAATTAAAGCAACCCAGCTCCATGGAAACTCTTTATAGGATGCATGTATTTTATTCCTTATTTAATGCAGGAGGTAGGCCAGTGTTACAAAACTGCTCCTAGGAACACAGGGTATCAGTAGTTGCTAGAAGTAGTACATAATTCTTTCCTCACCTACCTACAGAGCAGAAAAATGTTCTCTCCAACAACTTTGGTAAGGGTAGCACTTCTAAAATGGTTTTAGCTTTCATTAGAATCCACATCAATAGACCTTGCTCTGCAAAGTTTCTGTATCCTCCTCTTGCTTCACTCTGCCTCCCTGATTTTCTTTCACACCCCCCATGAATTTCAGCTCACACAACGTATGCAAGGCATGAGCTACAACTGACAGCATTTGGAGTTTGAGCTTGTCATTTATAGCATGCATTCCAAGTTCTCTGCTGCTGCCCACCTCTCTCCAGCAGTGAGGACACCAGCCTCCCCCTTGCTTGGCATCGGGGGCACATCCGAATCAAATGAGGACATGCCTCCAAACCAGCCTGCCATGGGCCAGGAGACAGCTTATTCCTCACTTTTCAAGGATATATTCCTAAAGCTATGCTGCTTCAGTAAGTCTGCAACAAGAACTTATCTCCAAAGAGCCTTTTCCTGCCATGTTTTACCTCTCAGGTAGTGCCTGGCCACGCTCCAGCCTCAGTGTGGCAAACCCAGGGGGCAGCATGGGCACTAGATACCACATCTCCTCAGAGCTGAGGCACACAGGCCCCTGGGCAGCCTGCCTGAAGCAGCTCCCCTGCACAACCTGAACCCTGAACACACCTCCTCTGTCCCCATATTCAGGGTGCCTTACTCCTAGGAGTGTAAAACAAATGGATCCACCAGTCTTTCACTTTTATCATTTCATTACCTCAAACCAACCTTGCTAAGCAACTCTGGCTTGTTACCTAGGCAACAGGGCTCCTTCCAGTCAACATATTATTGGAAAACAACATCTAAAGAGCTGGGTTTTTTTGCACAGCTCCATTTTAGATCCTCCCAGGACTAGCCTGGCTGTGTGCAGCATTCCAAGCAGGCACCTCTCACAAGCTGAGGCACACCCCAACGATGCCTGACCAGGTCAAGTGGGGAGAGTTCTCTGGAAATGTTATTTAAGCAGCTTTGCCTCTGTAAAACACAAGAGAGTGCTGGCACTGCCAAAAAAAACCCCATCACACTTTGAATACCACGAGCATTAGAGTAACCACAAGTTTAGGAATATGCTTGTTCCTCTTCACCTTCACCAGTGTCAGAGTGGGACAAGAGCAATGTGTGCTTTTGTTTAGAGGGAGAGAATAAAACCACTGGCTTGTTGACACACTATTTCCCTTTGTTTGGGATAAACCACTGCAGAGAATGTTGCCTCTTTTGAAGATTGTATTTACAGCTGTGACAGCATATAGACTACAATCACAAATATTTATAAAATAACTCCAAATGTTGTTCTACTCTGAAACAATACTGTCAAGTTTTCATAAAGCCCAATACATAACTGTTTGCAGAAGCAATGTGGAGGGTTTTTTTTTTTTTGCTGTCTGGCTTCAGAGCTTTTGGGAAGAACTTTATTCATGGTTTTCAAGGTTTTCTCTACAGTCACAAGGACCAGGAACTTTTTACTTAGAACCTTTATTTTTATAAACCTGAAATTCACATCTAGGTAAAGCCTTTAGTAGATTGTAGAGATCTCCTAGCTTACTGCAGAGCCATTCCATCATGCCTCTACTCCTGCTGCCAGAGCCTCATAGTAAACTAGGAACCTGCAAAGAAAATTTACAGGATTCTATGTTGTGAAAAAAAAAAAGGAAGGATAAAAACCTTGGTAACAACAGGGTTTGAAAATAGTTTTTTTTGACATGATTTGAAAAAAAATCCTCACATTTGACATTAAGTTTAGCAAAAGCCATCAACACCCTGGTAAGGTGAAGAAAACAGGTTCTGAAGAAAATACACTGGGAGAACCTTGGGAAGAATTGTTTATTTTGGTGCAGGATAAGGTCAAAAGGACTCAAGCACTGTGCACAGTCAACTTGCTCCCACCAACCTTCGCCCTCTGTTCCTAGGGATTTTTTTTTAGCTCTCAAAACTAGGCTCTAGCTTGGGGTAAAAACCTGAAGCCATCTGACCCAAAAAGCTCTTGCCTCTAGAGCTCTGCTCTGGGGGCCTCTGTGCTGCCATGGAAACTGCAGCATCTCCTCAGGCAAAGGACTCGGGGTGGGTTTGGGGCTGTTGTGGCTGCTGCCTGGTACCCATCAAACCCCCTGTTGGCAGCAGGGCACCCGAGGCCAGCCCCACAGGTCTGTGCTCAGCTGTGTGCCCCTGCCCTTGGCACACACACTGCCAAAGAGAGGGGGAAGCAGCAGAGGGAGGACAGGGCAAACTGCAGGGGAGGGGAATTTCAGCACGTCTCAGGATGACCTCCCCACAGCCCCCCAGACCAAAGCCAAGCGACAGGTTACTCTAGAGGATTAAACCAAAAAAGAGAAAGCCAGCAAGAGTCTGAGGATACAGGCCAAGAAGTGGGCGAGTGAGAAGCGAAGCAACCTGCTCAGGCGTGGGCAGGGTGCCCCAAAATAGCCCTGGAGCCTGGGGGGTGGGTGGGCAGGACTGGCTGCCACCCGCTCACCACCCTGGGCATCCCACCAGCAGGCACCACTGGGCCCACTGGGCACTGCACAGGCCTTCTGGAAGTGGCTCCCAAAGGGGGAAAGGTGTTTAATCAAAACTAGCATTGGATTTGGTGTTTTTAAACACAGTCAGCTGCTGAAGGTTAATTTGTTTGTGTTTCTTCCCTTCCTCTCAAACCCTGCTGCAGTCAAGGTCAGCCTTCCTCCACACAACACATGATGATGGGCTCTTCTTCCAGGTACTACCTGAAAGTCATGACTTCTGTGCTTATCTTTGTTACTTTGCATACATTATAATAGAGGTTTTTAATGTAGAAATGTTTGCCTTGGCACAGAATCTGACTCTACCCTCAATTTTACTTTGTTTTTCATACCTGATCTATGCTCAATGCCTTCACTTTTTAATTTAAGGAGGATGAATTATCCCAGAGAAAGAAACCAAGTCCAAAGTTGTTTTTCCTCTCATATATAATGCAAAGATCTGTTGTGGATTTTCATATTAACCATTTTTGTGAACTCCAAGTACAACATAATAGCTCAAACAGGATGGTAAAAAACTTATCAAAAGCTTATCAGAAGACCTCTGTTTAAACCATGTTAGGCAAGTCACATTTGGCTTCCTTCATAGATCTTATCAGAAAAAACCTAAGCAATGTTGAGAAATCTGTTCCAACAAGGCAAAGTAAAGCAGTGAATGAAAAGTAGAACTAAATTCAACCATTTCAGTAACTCAGCACAGCTTTTATGTCCACTCAGATTTCCAGCAAGCCCAAGACAAAAGAGAACTTCCCGTTGAGCTTGTGTGTGACCTTCCCAGAGCAGTAAACACACCCCAGAGCCAGAAGCCCCAAAAAGCCTCTTGTGTTTTTCCCTTGTAATCTGTCTGCCCTTGCAGGGTACGATTTGGCTCACGAGGCAGA